CCTCTCAGTTAACTGCAGAGCATTAGATATTGGCTGTGAATTGAAACTGGATTCACCAGGCTCAGAGTTATTGCCGCCAGCCGCTGGCGCAGATGCTCGAGAAAGTGATGCACCAGCTGAACTTTTGACGAGCGCCCCAGTAACAGAACATCTCCCACTGATCATGTCAGTGGTATTTATGGTCAGTTTCAAATCTATCATGTTGGAAAATCTTACTCGTGGTGGCTGAGTGTTGTTTAGGTTGCCCTTCATCAGTTTCACGGAGACGTCAGTTACTTCAAGCCCAAAATGAGCACAAAAATCGCAAGCCTCTTGCACGTTATTGAAATTCAATATTTCCACCAATAACATCATTGGAAGGCAAGCATTACGACTGAAATACGCTGTGTTGACAGAAGCAAGAGCGCTGCCTCTCATTTGGTTGAAGTGTTTATGAACGGCACAGCATGCTAAATATGGCAGCTTCTTGACCAACCGAAAAAACCGAACAAAGTTTTTAAGCATGAAAGTGAAAGAGATGTCCAAAGCTAACCGAAATAGGAAGCTGTTCTTGATTTCTTCAGGCAGAGTTACTGCACGATTTAAAGCCTCAAAAGAACCCAGATTATGTAAAAGGTAATACACTTCAAACTCGGCCCTTGTTTCTTTGTATTCAGAAGGCCATTCTGTTTCATAAAAGCACAGAAGTCTCTTCAAACATTCCGTTGTATGATCATTGTTGATTTTTGGATCAAATACATCCACTGGACTCTCGCACAGCCTGTAGCCGGATAAAATGTGAAACCTGCAAGCTTTCTCGAAGATTTCCACGACGGGCTTTCCAGTGATTCTTTGTACTACCAAGTCTTGTCTCACAGCTCTTATTCTATCAAACACAAACCAGTAAATCATTTGCCATGGGTAGACTGAATTTTTGGACGTAATTTCTTCAATCAAGTAATTCATCGTCCTTAAAAGCACATTAGCTGGTCGGAGGTCTGAGGGATCAATGGATTTTCCAGCTGCAGATCGTGAAAACTCTTTAACCACTGCCCGCGAATCTGCTTTCAGTTTGTCTTGTTGGGAAGAGCTGTTTGATGTTGGACAAGTGAAGGCAAGTGTCTCAAAGAAGTGCAGTCTCCGCTGCTTCTCGCGAGACGCAATTTCACGTTGAGGACACATGTGCATGCATGTTCCCTGAATGAAACATTGGCTTGATTCTGTCATTTTAGCAAACTTAATCCTTCAGTAAATTGAATCAACCAAATTCGTGCCAACGGTCCACCATTTTGAATGTATCTTTATAGGAGAAGTCCGCTGCCAAAAATATTAGCGCCTGTCCGCTTAGCAACCATTCGAAAACAAATATGGCGGGCGATATTCCATGAAACCAAATGTCGCAGAGATCAACTTTGTGGTGAATTTTCTGGAGGAGAATGGCAACAATATTAAACAACACCACATCTAAAGGAGCAGGAAATTACATTGGCGAGACCAAACAGCAACTGAGAGATGGTAAGATTGTTTTAATTAAAAAATGTTTGGCGCTGGAGGAGAGATAAACTTACATGTAAGCTGTACGTTTGTACAAAGTGAAGCTGCAACATATATCAATTCCATATATGTCTTTTGATTCTTGTGGTGTCAAGGATTTGGAGTATACAATTATGCCAATAAATTCTTCAGATATGAAGGAGAGTGGAGCAAAGGAAAGAAACATGGTGAGTTAATTATAACTGGACTAACAGGCTGGTTAAACTTAATTCACCAGTACATTATTG